GGGAGAATGCAGAAGATGGTTCTGATGAACTCGTTTCACTTCATTATCTACCAGTCTCTCAGTTGCTAAATAAGCTGCCTGCACCTTACGCGGCCCTGGAAAACGAAGAGGGGAGACTTTGGACGAGTGTATGATCAAAACCTATGCAAGTTTTCCAAAACAAGCGGCAGCCCTTAGTTGATCGGTAACTTTTGGATAACACTGTATAACCAGACGATTTCGGAAGTTGTTGCTAGCTGCGGCGGCACGCAGGTAGAGCAGTCGTTCACCATTAGCTATGTGTATCGAGTTCCATCTAATTGAGTCCCAGATGCTGGGACTCAAATGCTGATTCTGCCTACCGGTGCATTAAAATATCCGTCAACAACAGCATTGCCTGAGCCTCTGGCCCGTCGTAACGGGGAACTCAACAAGTCGCAAAAGCTTTGATGATGTCAGAGCTATAGTGGATTGAGACATAGGAGACAGACAACTCAGCTTGCCACTTGCGAGATTTTTTTACGGATGTTGCCGAACAAACCACACAGATTCGACTACCAACGAGTGTCAAGCTGAGCGAGGATTCTTTCGCCTGGTGGCTTAGGGCGATACTGACCTCTGTATCGTAAGATCCCCACAACCGGAAGCCAGCGGAGAGTGATGGGGCACTTAGGTCAACCACTGTGCCTGTATCTTGAATTCCTGTTTCTAATACACATAACTGAAACGTGAGAAGACACCAGGACCGGACGGTCTGTATCTAGCCCTCTTCAATTAATACGGAGAATCCCTGATGACCCATCTGACAAAGCTCATTAATGCGATATGGAGTGAAGAGGAAGTGCCCGCAGAATGCGGCATTTCGACACCTATTGCTATCTTAAAAAGGTTACGCGGACGCTGTGCGAAAGCCGCAGTGGCATCAGCCTGGTAGTCATGGCATCGAGCCATCCCTCTGGTCATTTACTTCGAAAGTCGACTGAACACAGGGAGAATGATTCGTGAAAACCGAGCTGAGTTGCGTCCTGCAAAAGAATGCGTCGACCATATCTTCACCCTCTGGCGGATATTGGAACAGCGACACTGCTTCCAGCAACCAACACTGATAGTCCTCCTTGACTTAAAAGCTGCCTTTGACTCGTTGGACTGTCAGACACTATGACGGTATCTGTGGACTTAATGTGTCCCCGTGGATCATTGACCCTTCTTGAGCCGCTGTACACCAACTCCCGCGGACGTGTGAAGGTTTACCAGAGGCTCTCGCTTGAGTTCACCACATCAAGTGGTATTGAGCAGGGCTGTCCGCTTTCACCTTTCCTCTTCAACTTCGTCATTGATAGGATCATTGAAGACTCACTATCAACCTCCAATGACTGTGGGATCGAAATGCTCCCGGGGCGTCCGTTCACAGATATCGAGTACGCAGACGACGTAGCTCTTCTTGGATCTGATGTCGGCGTAGTGCAAGCAATACTAAATAATCTAAACCATTCTGCCTCACGGTTTGGAATGCGCTTCACTCCTGCAAAGCGATGCTGCAAGACATGCGTGGACTCGAACCCTAGCCTCATGCTTGCGGATGAGCCGACTGAGGTAATAGAACAAATTTGTCTACCCGGACAGCTGTACCGGTGGTCTCGATATGATACACCAAGATACAACAATCCGCACTGGGAAGGTCAGAGCATCACCTGTGGCTTAGGCATGACATGAGCTTATCCGTCATGGGTAGAGTTTACTATGCTGCGGTGCGCTTCATATCATTACACGGGTCAGAAACCTGGCTGCTGCGCGCCAAGGACACCAACAGACTCTTAATGTGTGACCATCGATGTCTTCGGAACATTACCCGAGTGTGTTTGGAACACCGGATCAGTAATGCTGAAGTTCGTCGGATGGTTTTCGGAAGAGATAACTCACCCACGATAGATGAACTGATCACGTTTCATAGGTTGCTCTGGCTTGGCCACGTGCTGCGCATGCCAGTCGACCGACTGTCGGTTTTTTTCGCAAAACCACGTGAAAGTGGAAATGAGCCAGGGGTGGTCAAACAATGACTTGGCAGCGAAGTACGAAAGTACTTACCAGCAAACTCAGCTGCACAGGTCATTGTCGTCTTCCAGGATGGGCACCCCGGGACAGGACACATCAATGATTAGAAGCAATGTCAGACATGACCCAGTGGTGTCCTCAAAGGCGTTCGGGCATCCAAGCTACTCCCTTCAATGTATGGCTCCCCTTCCAATCCCTGCAGTAATTATATCAACTAGCTCCTCTAATGCGCAACTACCCACCCCATCTTGCCAAATCATCGGTGAACGAAATTATGGCAGCTATAACCACTATACTAGTACACCATCCTTACACCTGATGATGATCTGCTTGGGATAACCACCGAGTAAACATTCCCAACTCATGACTGACATTTGACTAATTTCCAACCGTATTGGGACAATGTACGCCGAACGGTGTGATTGTGATCGCACTGGTTTCACTACTGTCCTATGTGTAGGAAGGTCGAAAAGGAAACATTTGAACCTCATCTTGGTGGCTTATTTCACCTGGTTGGAACCAACCACGCGCAACAGAAGTGAGATCGATTTCTCGGTCCTGAAGTTCTATTCTTCAGCTGCTGTTAGAATGGTGCAGACAAAGCATTCACTTTACAAGAAGGTAGGGAAACCTTTAAGCAGCGACATTTTCAGTGGCATTAGAAGTGTTATTTCGGGAATTATCAAGCGTAGTTTGCCTAGCATCTCGGGTGTGAATTCTTTGGGTCTGAAAGAAAGTGCGCTACCTGAAGGGACTTCATTCCTTTGAGACATTTATCGGGAAAACCTACCGAGTCACATGAGCTTTCCTGGAATTCAGTTCAGTTCGTTGTAAAATAAATGAATGAATGAAACAATAAGGTGATGGGCTGTTCCTGAGTGGAAACTATACCATGAAGCACACTCATTTACAGATTGATTTGGTTTCATCCAGAGATTCAATTGGATCTCTCGCTTATAATACTCTTTGAGTGGATGTAGTGTACGTGTGTGCAAATGACTATTTCGCGAAGTTCGTAACATAAATTTGAGGGAAACATCTGGTCTGCGCTCACCTAATAGGCGTCAGGAAGGGCGAAACCGGCCATGGACTGTCGAAGAGTTTCCAATAATTTACACAGGTAGTGTTCCTTTAAGATGTCTCACCTATGATGTTCACTTCAGCAAAGGTCACACTGCGTTTTCACTGACTTCTCACGATTTATATCATGCTGCTCTCTGCATTTAGCTATCTGTGACAATCTACCTTTATAGTTTGCCAAAATCTGGCCGCCCACTCAAAAACCATTGCGCGCAAATTAGATGTCACTGAAACAGCTTGGGCCTCTGAATTCATGCAAGTCACTGGAAAATCTCACTGTTGATGGTTACAGTCTTACTGAACTAATGTCGAAACCTTGAATGCGCATTGGTCACACCATCTTCTCTATCACTGAAATGAGAATTTTCATCTGATTGGGGATCCAGTTGCCGGACATAGTCGAAACATGTGTAATTTGCACGAATACTGTTCTCATCGATACCATAAATTCGTTAGTTCATTATTAACATGACTCATCTGTAAGATGACGACTGGAAGTGAATGCGTAAAATCAGTAGTCACCGTCTTTTTACCTGGCTGATTGAATCGTCATTATGCATTGTTGTGCAGCCTAAATGTCTCGGTACAATGCGGGTGGAGGGAACTGCACAGGGAATAGCTTTCAATTTACACCCTCAATCATTGTCAGTAGTCATAGTAACGAACAGGCATGAACTCGTTTCTTTCAAAAAACGTGTCACCAACTAAAGCATACGCATTAACGCTTGTTCGGGCCAGCCGGTTTTCCAGGATAAAGCTCTAGAAGTCGGCGTCGAATTGCAGTCTCAAGCTGACAATCAGATCCAACTTACTACATCCTGATGCCCATTTCGAACCACGATTCTGAAACAAAACATTTACCCCTCCTCGTCGAAGCCAGACAACCTTTGGTAAATTCCTCGAAGCATACTTTATTACCGAAGATTCACCCGGAAAAGGCCATCTTTCAGACACCCCCCTTGAATGGGCGGTGCCAAATGTGAAATTGCTTCCTCTGTAGAGACCATTCCTAAGAACATGCCCGACTAGCAAGGTGAGCCGTTTGTTGGAGTTAATGTCTATCGAAAGACCATAAGTCAGGGTTGGGCCACCAGCAGATCGCTGAGATATATTTTGGTAACGCACAATGATGAATTGAACCGGCCAGATGAATGAAGACTGGAGTATGTCTGAACTGGAGTGACTACGCCAATGAAATCCAGCGATCAGCCAGGGTGCTCGAATTGCACTTCGTCATCACTCACGGTTAATCGTCCTCCCGATTGATGTCCACGAGAAGTCACAGAGAAGACAACCGGATCCCCAATGAAATCGTCAACCCTAAGGAAACTATAAAGGCAAGTACGCAAGCACCAGGTCTACAGAGAAACTCTCAACTGACAGAGAACTTCATGTGTTATCGGAAAAGCACCGAAATTGTCGCGAATTTCAATCGAATCGAAACTACGTAACTGAAGTGTCGCATCGTCACCTTTACAACAATTTATTGATCCGCGACACTTTGAGGAACGTCTATCAGTTGAAACCGTCAGAAACTTCAATATTTCACAAGCAATTGTGAAAATAGTCTTAGCTGGGACAGCTTGGTAAACCGAAGACCGAATAATTGGATAGTCACCACTGCCAGCATAGGGGTGAGTTAGAGCAATTCTACCGCTCCAGTCCAACTAACAGCCATTCCTGGATAAGTTGTCTGAACACCGGCCCGAGCGTTCAGCTGTAATTATCTTACAACGCAAAATACTGCCGGCTAACTTGGGCACAAGAATTACGTGCAACTTGTATTCTCATGTTGCACACTGTATTTTCAATAAGCACACTGATTTCTTAGTTTAAGTACACGGTGTGGGACTGGGATGTCGAGAAGCATGAAAGTTAGCATCATATATATTTGGAGTGCAACAAGATAGCAATATTGAGCATTCTAAAGCACACCCACGTCAAAAACCAAAAAGACGTATTTGAAAACATGGAACGGGCATGAAAAGAGTGGTTAGGCGAATGGCATGATCATCGAAACCCTTATCAGATGAGTTCGATGACTGAACCATCACGGCTATCCGAGGATTCAAGCCAATTCAAGGTCCTTTTCGACAAGCATGGCTGTAGTCCTGTGCATGAAAGGCTTTTGGGACTTAAAGTTGTCATGTATCTGCTGACGAACCTCGGACCATTTGTTCAATTCCCTGTGGGGTAGAAAAAACAGTTATTGCATGAAACACATCTAGGACCACCACAACCTGAACATATAGTGCACGAGATGCTGTTGGACCATCCCTTCTTTCCTCAGTTCAGGTCACAGTTAAGGAAGGATGGTATGTGGTATGCTGAAAGCTGACAATCAACAGTACATCGATCGCTCATGAGCTATTAAGTCATTTATCGTTTACCAGCTAGAGCATCACGTATCTACCTTGAACATCACAACAGGTCTGAGCAACCCCATTTACAGATCAGTTGAGTGTGAGCACGTAGGTGCACATCTATCAGAGCAAACGACAACTGGGACAATCGGTATGCACGGATGTCAGGTAGTAATGCCACCATTTTCCAACACCTGACAAGTTGGATTGGAATGTCGGCAGTTAACGGCGCAGCCGAAACTAATTTAATGACGCAACAGGAACCAAGATGGTCATTCAATATCCTGATTCTAGTCCTAACTACATACGAGGAAATGCTGCGTCGCAGATAGAAGATGAATTGAGGGGAGAACGCCGCGGAACAGCTGTTTGTCTTCAATTCTTAAACGTGTGTTGGCTGACAGTAATAACCATGGAGATAATGGATCAATCCAACGGTGGGATCTTAGCCCGGAGTGGGGAGTAAGAACTACAATCAACAAATACACTCATTTGCATATCAATTTGGTTTTAATGGGAGACTTACCAGGAACCCAGCTGAATTACTCCTTTATGATGTCTTAAACAAATGAATGTGCTGCACCAGGCCGCCTCATGTTTCAGTTGTTGCGATATTCGAGATATCGCCCAAGCTGGGTTCCAGGTGAGTCTTCTGTCAATACCAAATTGATATGCAAATGAGTGTATTTGTCGAAATCTGCCTAATTTGGGTTCAAGTTGAACGCGGGGGAGACATCTAGACGAAAGGTGGATCTACTTTTTTTTAATAACACCCAAGAACAATACAATGGTGCGGTGTAATCTGGAAGGTTGATAAGAACCTCCGTATATGATTTTAGGGAATGAAAGACAAAGTACCGAGATACGTGAACATGACTAGTTAAACAACTGTGGGAGTCGCGTTGGTTCCTGTTGTCAATCATTTACTGCGAGAACAAACTGAGTGCGGCAAACGAAAAAGTCGACTTCGGAATGCCATGAAACCCACCAAGCTGGACTGGAATATTCCAAGTTATTTGAAACGCAGTGAGGAATCTGCTGAATACGAAATAGCGATAGCGTAGAGAATTGGCGCAATACTCGAAAATTTATCGTCAGCTTTTAGAAAATGCAGCGCACACGGACAAAAAGAATGATCACAAACCTGTAGATCGGGCGCGTGTACTTCATTCGTCCTTGACTATTGAGGAATTCCAAACAACTCTCCAAAGCAGGCATATATTGCGCCCGAATAGTCATCAGTGACCATCTGAGTGAAATAAAAATTGAGGAAAAATAAGCTAACCATGATTCGTAGTTCAAAACTTTTGCATGACATACAATTGCACACCCACGTACAAAGGAGCTGACGAAACGTGTTCGTTGTTATTCTGCTTACTGTAACAGATCACAAGCAGTCGCGTCCAGTAGAAGTGGGACAAACAAGATTGCAGGGTACAACTGAGAAAACCATATTCAGGATGACCAATACTGAATATTACTAGCATCTATTTGCGCGCCGAAAGGGCGGTATTCTGGACGGCACGTTGAATGTCTATGATGTCTACGCGATGAATAGCTCATCAGGGAAACAGTATATAACTAATGAAGGAAGCGGTTGATGATTACTGAACAGAATTGTGACCTAAGTTGACTGACACTCTCGATTGGTATTAATCATTAGTAAGCATACATCGCAATAATTGGGGGTATACGTAATATGCATATCCCCTTCGGAACCAGGTTAATTCTTCGATAGCCGCCATTGGAATTAGTTCGTCAGAATCTTCACACTAATTAGGGGCACTGGTTGTCGATGTTAACGGTCTGCATAGCGGTGATGAAACGTGAGTAATTGTGACGTGATGTTACCTAAGAGATTGTGGTGTCACACTAAACACTATTCTCCGAAAACAAAGCAGCACACGACGTCACGAACGTAGGAATGTCACGCAATGTAACTTTTGTAGTTACGGCAAACATGGCCTAATAGAACTCACGAAACAGAGTGGAACGTACTGAAAACGAAGTTCAGCATTTTTCTCTTTTGATAATTCCAGAATAACATCTATGCGACGAAGGTTGTCATGGTGTAAAGGGGGTCGTTCGTTCATACGACACAAAGCAAGCTCACGCTGCGTGGGTGACAGCTGTTTCCATAAGTCTCGTAAAGCCGTCGATTCAGATGTACTGTGTGGTAGCTCCGTTGAACACAGTAGGTCGTTTAGCTTATCGCATTCGGAAATTGCATTATCAGCTTCGAGTCTGGAACAGATACACAAAGCCGATTATTCGAACAATAAAAACCTATCACATAAATTAGGATTGCATATTCGACAAGGGTCAGAGAATGATAAAGTCCATAATAGACTGAGGCTGTGACAGTAAGGGCTGAATTCTACATGAAAAACTTGTGGCTGGACAAGACACAGCATTCATGAGTGCTGTAGTCCAAAATTCCTACTTCAAAAGCTAGGACGGGAAGGCGACGATAACTGACGTAAACCACAATGAAAAGAGTTTCTTAGGATCACGTTCATCTGGTGAACCACAAAGCAAGACGAAGTTGTTCTTGGACCTGGTTCACCCGTGCTACCACAACACAATTAAAGTGCCTCCAAAATAGACTGTCATTCATGTATAGAGCAGTTAACCTAGAGCCCGCAGGATTCAAAACTCGCGTTAATGAAACACCTATCCACCGACCTTCAGGCGTGCTATGAATACCCTTAACTGTTTAGACAAGTTAAGTAGGTAACCAACATAACTTCGTATTTACGTGACAGAAAGTGACACACCGTCCTGCTTTGTATGAACCGAAAAATAGCGTCACAAGGCCGACCCTGTTGTTTTCACACGATGACCCTCATCTAGGACAAACTATTTAAAATCTTATGCTTTCGCTACCAGTCAAGGTCAGCCTATCAAATAGAGCAGTTACGAAGTACGAACCAGCATCTTGACTACGACGGTAATGAAGAAGCTGGCAATAAAATTAAGACCATTAGTAACTCCTCAAAACCTTGGAACGTAGTGTTCAGAGTGGACAGCAGATGAAACCACCGTACATTTTAGCACAATGTTTGTGAGGTAATGTGGACTATACAGTTTGTGGGAACGTTGTATCTTGAGAGAAACTGACTGTTTATTCTCGTTAAAATGTTCAGCGAATGAATCAGCGAAAGCGTAAAGTGTGCTTGCTTTTCAAGGTCCTTGCACTTTTACGATGCTTACAGAACCATGCGCCTTCACACCGATAAACTTTATTCTGGGGTAAGCGACCCCTGCATCGAGTCACTCTGCTAGATGGCACTTTGCGAACAGCCGAGCGTACGCGTCTTGATAGATTTAATAGATTTTAATAGATTACCGGTCAAACTGCGTCCCCAGCCAGCGTGGCACGGATAAGCATAAAAACTGTGCAACAGGCTACTATTGACAGTAGAGAAATTGTCATTAGAAGGTTGTGTATTTGAAAATATCGAAATGGCCGGCGGTAAGTCATCAAAAATAAATGTAGGCGTTGGTCACAGGTATGTACATGAAAGTGAATTGAGGTGAAGGATTTGAACAAATATATCGGCATGTACTTGACCCGACTTCGCCAGTAAAGTACCCCTGTTATCTCCTCACACCACATAGCACGAAGCTTTGAATTGCGGTCCTTCACGCTGAACAAGCTAGGTCCAGGGAATGAATCAGTCGATCGTTCTAACCCAGGTGCGACTCCCCATCGTACCCGGCAATTAAAGACATCATTATAAGATAACAAACGGATGGTGTGAAGTAAAATTGAATCATCAGCATGAATAAGCGTCGCGTCTGTATTATGTGATTCACTGAGAAATGATACGGAGTGAACTTGGGTGCACAGAAATCCCAAGCAGAGATCAAGCAAGGAGACTGGGGTTAACGTACTGTGCAACCAAAAGCATTTACAAGTAGTTGAATTTCAGTCCGACCGATTAATGATCACATTATGGAGAAAAGACAAACTAGCGGAGAGAAAAAGGAGGGAGATGACTGGATGCCGCCATGAATGAGTTAGAGGAACCGACATACCAAAGCTTTGTAAAATTCAAGATTCCAGGATGTTATGCAGGTTGTAATAAACGAATGATCGTGACAGATGACCCAGAATTTTAGTTTAGGGATTCATGGTCAAACAACTTAGCCAGATGTCAGAGTTGGTACAGTGTACAAGCAGATATCGCTCCAGCTTTCACGTGCACGAACGTGCAATTCACGACCATGTATACAAACTTTCTTCAAGTAGCGAACTATGGGGTACTACCCATGATAGCTCAGGCTCTAACCACTTCGGCCATCTCGCCCCTCAAGTAGTGAACTATGGGGTAGTACCCATGATAGCTCAATTGGAAGAGCACTCACCCGGTAAGCAAGAAGAACCGGGTTCGAATCCCATCCAAGGAGTGTCTTTTCACTTGTATTATGTATACACCAAATAATACAGGCAGTTTAAATGATAAAAGGATGTCAAACGGTAGTAAGTACGCCCATGCAAAATGTATTCCAGTAAAACCGAGCTTAATTAGATTAAATGCGTGGTAATGAGTGGATGAATGACCGTGTGAACAGGTACAGATAGCAAAGCTTAAATAATGACGACTCACGTCGGTTTCCACGGTGGCATTCCAAGACCGTAAAGCCATTCGTTCCAGTCAACTGCAGGGCCTTCAACTTCGGGACCCAATTGTGTGGACAGGAATTCGCGCCAAGCATGTGTATCTAAAGCCCCACCGGCGAACTTTTTGATGTACTGTTGCAACCATGACAGCATTTTATCTAAAACCGAGCATAAGGATAACATTCCAGAAAAGATCGCACGTTACGACCACTAAAATATTTCAAGATAGTTAACCAATGCACGTTAGTCAGCAGTTTGTGGGATTAACACATGCAGAACGCGATCCCCTACTATGATTAGTGGCTCTAATGCAAGGCTTGTGTTGGTTATTTACGATCCCAAATCGACGAAAACGGCTGAGTGTCGGATATACACCTTGATGACTACACACTACAGTGCAACCACACTGAGGAGCATTTGCTCACCTTTACCAAATGTGTGTTCCAAAAAGTAGAGGAATAATGAGCCCTTCTCATACGGAATCCTATTGTAGGCAACATCGGGATGAACGCCTTCCAGGTTAGTCACCAATTTGGTAAACGGGTTATCTTTGCCCAAAGTTTCGCACTGAAGAGGAAAAGAATCAAACGCGTGATGTGAACAAATGCTTCGAACGGACAAATTGAACGACCAGGGGAACAATTACGATCTTCTACGCATACAACCAAAAACCTACATTACAAAACGCAAAATTTTTGTCTTTCATGTGGTTGATTAACATTTTTGGGTGCACACAAAACTGTGCTTAGGAGGATGCTTTGAAGTATGTAAAAGAAAAATCTCCGGCCGTCCTTCAATCATAGTGGAGTTCTACGAAAACGATTAATACAAACTCAGCCGACGTAGGACCAAGAATGAGTCAATCGACGTGTGAAACGCAACAATAAAGCAGACAGACTTGGAAACTCACGGGCCAAGAGCAGTACAACAAAAATTATATGCTTTCGAATACACATCAAACGGTGTCCAGACAGCGTAGAACGCAACTACATTAGTTACGCTTATGATGGTAACAAAACATCCAACCCCGAAAGAAATGTTCAGGTGAAAAGAAACATTCAACCGCGAAAAGCAGCACCGACGACATGCAAACGAGTCACCACCATGCGACTGAAAACAACCATATAAAACGCCAGGAAACAAGCCTAAAATAGGAGCATCAGAAAATACAAGAAAAACGAACAGAAGCCGAAAACAAAGCCCCAAAAATAAAAAACGCGGACGGGTGAAAAACAAGTGAACCTGACGCCCGTTATTGCACAGGAACGGCGGTTTGTATTGTTTGTTCGACTTTGCTTATTTAAGGTCACCAGGAAATTGTCGCCACCCTTGTGCACGCGTGACTGCCTCAAATGCTTCAACCCGTTTCGCTGGAACTGTTTGTGCTATTGCAATCCAACCAAATCACATGTGGCAGACGAGTACCGCCACAGCCCAAACGAGATCTTCCAATGACCTGTAGTACCAGAACCATCAATCAGGCAAAACAAAGTTCGATCCGGTTGTCCATAGATTATCTGCGCTCGAACAACAATCACGGACGGCAAGCACGACTTATCTTCCGATGCATTGTGAGCTATCCCCACGCGTGAACTGTTTCCCACATCCCGACGCATCACACCGGTAGTTGGGATAGGCATGTGGCTGTTGTCGGTGCATGTCCATCTGTTGATGGGTCTGAAACAACTGTGCGCACGAATCCACCGAACATCTGACCCGCGTTCTGTTCTCCACCGGCAAACGAATCCTCCTGCGATCGGTGAGAAGTGCATTGCTGTGAAAACCACACCCACATGACATGTGACCGAGCACGTACGACTTCAGTGAATCATGCCTGTTCTGGACATATTGCAGCAACTGTAATGTAGCATAGGATTTGTCGCAGCAAAACCATCGGCGATCGACTGCGGCAAGGTACCGCGATTTCGCACGTTGTGACAAATCCCATGCTACATTACAGTTGTTGCAATATGACCAGAACACACATGAGTCACTGAAGCCGTACGTGTGCGGTCACATGTCATGTGGGCGTGCTCTTCACAGCATTGCACTACTTCTCATCGATCACAGGAGGACTCGTCTGCCGGTCGAGAACAGAACGCGGGTCAGATGTTCGGTGGATTCGTGCGCACAGTTGTTTCGGACCCATCAACAGATGGCCACGCACCGGCAACAGCCACATGCCGATCCCAAATACCGATGCGATACGTTCGGATGTGGGAAGCAGCTCACGCGTGGGGACAGCCTCACAATGCATCGGAAGATAGGTCGTGCTTGCCGCCCGTAATAGTTGTTCCGACACAAACAACCTATAGAAACCCAGCTACAACTTTGTTTGGCCTAGTTGGAGCTCCTCGTACAACGCGTAGCTCGAAGAGACAGTTTTGGTGTCGTAACAATGAACTAGCACTGAGACAGTGAAATTCACATCGACTCGGTTCAAGAACCGTTAACCCTATGCGCGTGTACAGCGGCCCGGGGATTCGGTCTGCGTGACAACAGAGTGGCCAAGTTGAAGAGTAGAGTGCATGAGAAACAATAATACAGTAGTGAGTCATTCATCTGTACTACAATAACAGACCAAACTACTCCTCCATCCGCAAGCTCATTGTGATCGGTACGCTAAAGGATCTGTTTATACTGCTCTTGGAGTACTATTGGGCCGATGGTGATGTGATTTGAGATATGGCCTCTATAGCTGGCATGCCATTATTTGATGGGCTGGTTGCTGTGGGGTTTCTGAAGCCCGCTGCCTCATCTTTTTGAGACTGATTAGCCGATTGTACTGACGATTTTGATGTAGTCCTTTCTCGTAATGGAAAACTGGGTTGGAATGGAATGGTTCATTTGTTGTGTTGATCTCTATCCTTGATCGGCTGGTTGGTTGGATAGTAGTCCAGGATGAGATGTCCGGCAAGTTGGTGCACGGAAGTGTTTCGGACCTACAAAGGAATGGCCACGCACCGACAACAGGCGCATGTCTTTTCCAAATACCGGCGTGATGAGTTGGGATGTAGATTTCACGGTTATGATCAGAACGGAAAATCTATAGAAACGTGGTGTAGCAGCCCGACATAAACTGACAACCGGGGGGGCAAAATTTAGGACCTACAGCGTTGATCAGCTCCGTATATCCGATCGCCATCACCAAGTCCCGCTGCTTTTTCCCATAGAGTCGTTCCATAATTAGCCGTTCCAGGTACACCGTATGACCTTCATTGAGCCAGAAATGCTCCCAAGACGAATTTGTCACCAAATTTCCTGTCCATGAATGTGCAATCTCATGGGCAATGACATTTACCAGTGAGCGATCACCAGCCTAGAATGAACAAAAGCACAGTTGCCAGAGCAGCTTTCGGTTTTCGAAGGGCGCGAAATCAATGTGAATTCAATTTCAAATTACCGAACAAACGGGTGCTTTTTTGTCGACGATTGAGGTTAAACCCATGCAGTGTTTTGTTTTGCTCTGCAAAACGGCCAACTAAACTATGAACCAGTGAAACAATAGTGATAAAGTTGTTTTTTACTGTGCTGTTGTTTATGATGGTGACAAGGGTGACCATACAGGCGGTACCAAGTATAGCGTGGGAGCACAAGCTGACTGAAGCCACCCATATCATCGATATCTTTGAGGTCACCTCTGAGTTGTTGAATCTAACTGCCCTTAGCGTAAATGACTTGTCGGTCACTGATCGATTTTATCAGGACAATTGTGAACCTGAAGGAAGTTTAATGCGACGTCCAGTAAGACATGAGGTGGGCGGGACGGCTGCCACTTAACGGACGTATTGACAAGGTGTGTACAGAAATCAGTGACTTGAAAATTAGTGACGGAGTGCAAGTGCTTTGGTTAAGGTACCCGAGCAGACACCAACAAAGCACATGAGACTAGTAGCTAATAGAAAACGTGTACAAAACCGAATTGACTGGGCTTGGATTAAGTTCGTCTGACAACAGAAGTAAAGCACAGGATACCAAGCGTTTACTAAAGAGATAGCAAATGAATGCAAGATACTGTTCCTTCGGGATTATAGTAGATAGCTCCTTTTTGAGTCCACTAGCTCTATCGAGAAAACCCACTCCTTACAGTGGGATAAACGATTTCAAATGACTAGAAAAACTATAAATACCCCTCCCCCCATGTATACACCTTTAACAGTGTATACTGGGATGGTAGGTGGTTGCCAGAGTCCGCATTCTTATTTTCAGGCAGAATGCTGCTGTGTTTACTGACACATGTAATTCGATATGACCAAAGTTTTAAAGTGTGTTATATAATTCCTTATAAAAAGATATTTCCACGACAAGGAATCAACGAAACACTGTGATTCCGTATGTGCGCCTATCGAACTATTTTCTCATTAAATTTGTCTTTTACCGCATCTGAGAACAACGTACAATAATGGTTGGAGAGACGAAAGTGAGACACGGATTCTCCATACCACCATAGGGGAACGTTGGTGGAAGCACCAGAATATCGTAGATCTTCCAGATGTAAGGACCGCATAGCTGTTCACCAGCTGCAATCATTTTTTCCGTATCCGAAAATTCATGAGCCGCCTTTTTCACCACACTAGGTTCGGCCCACACTGACGACCTGGGTCCGATACGTCTGCAGAGGGTAGAATGCGAAAGCAAACAATCAAAAAAAAACCGTTCAAACTAGCTTGTTCGTTCAAGAGTTTTCGTCCAGCAACATGACTTACTCGGAGGCCAAATCGCCGCAGGCAATGGTGACTAGGTAACTTGGAATGGGTACACTTTGTACAAAGTGATATTCACGCCAATCGTCTCCACGAGAAGATACAGAAGGTTCTTTGACGCGGACGGCGCCCATCACAACCACAGCATCCTTGGGAACATGAACCTTTGCGGCGATCAGAGTAGTAGACATAATGGAGGTGTTTCAGGAAAGGTGAGATTTGTGCTCGTCTTATACTAACCTAGGATATGCTCAAGACTATATAAATTTAGAGTGAAATGCAAATGACCTCGATAAACACGGCGTATTTGGACTTGATTACCAAACTGACAGACATAAATCTCGTTCCGGTAAGAGAAGAAGGAACAGGAAATACGGTTTAACCAAAATACTGGTGGACATAAAAACCTGTCTGTAGTGTACAGCGACAAAATGAAAGGATCAATTTCGCCGAGAAAGATCGTCCCAATTGATTTAGCTAATTATATAGAACTGCGTTGGCGAAATGGGTGTACTTACAACAAACGCCACCAACGTCGGTGGTGTGCGCAAGTCGAACTGATTGAAAGCACTGTAGGTGTGAATACGGCGAACAGCTGTCACAAAGATAGGCTAATTCGGAAACCTTTTCCCCCCAAAAGGCTCACTCTGTCTCATCTGTTTGTTCGCATTTGCGAAAAGCAGACCATCCCATACGACTGGGGTGAGTCGGCGATAGTACCCATTTTCAAAAAAGGTACTCGTAGTGAGTGTAGTCACTGTGTGTGTCCCCCTGTGTGTAATCACAGGGGCATAAGCTTGACCCCGGCTGTGACGAGACTGTTGGCATCAGTTGTGCTCCGTTGCCTTATGGTGGCTGGTGAAACACTGACTCGAGACCAGCAAGCGGGGTTGCCGCCTGGTGAAGGTTGCGTTGACCAAATCGTCAAGCTCCATCAGGTGCTAGGACAACGCCAAACGTACAAATGACTCAGGCGAATACACTCGAAGTTTCGGAGCGTTTTACGTACCTTGGAGGTTGTATTAGTTCTGATTGTAATGTGACAGAGGTCAATACACGAATATGCAAGGATCGTGTCACGTTTCTTAATTTGAGACATTTATGGCGCACGACTGGATCGTAATTCATTAAACCATCAGTGAGGGTAGAAGTAGGTAGCAAATGAACGGTCCGTTGGTAACCACGATGCACCTGTACGACGACCAAACCCTTTTCCAGCCCGCAAAAAGTGGTCAAGAATAAACATACAAGGGTCAACACTAACGCTCATTTAAATGGTGGTGTTGATGAAACTACATACATCGTTAGGACTCACAGGAAGACTGAGCATTTTAGTCTTGTCTTATAAGCGAATTCTGCCACAAAGGTTCGCACTGTACTTAAGAGCGCTAGGATAGCTGGACGCCGAGAGTCCCGTGAACGTCTTTTATCATCATATTCAGAGGAGAAGACACTGTACAAATCGGCGACAACCTTGCCTGTTTTGACCTCAAGTCCCCGGATCTGATAAACAGCAACCTACTGCATGGTTTGCTATGACACAACGTGCTGAGCTATCCAAATAAAACTGCATTTGCACCATTGTTCCTCTCTGTTTCTGTAGCAGAATGAGTACAGTGTAAATCTGCATGTCATCGACCCCGATCATAGTGACATGGCCATGGGTGCGCTAAAGGTACGGGACATTTTACTATGTTCATTGCATGGAACAGCGGTTAATGAGTGAAAATCAGTCAGACCAAAGACGGTGATAGGGACAGCGAAGCGGGTTAATATGCAGTCGTATCGAAAACTTCGGTTGTGGAAATGTCTTCACCTCGAACCGGCTGATTGTGTTGTTAGTTTGAAGACGCACGTACCATTCTGAGAAAGTCCAGGATCCGCTATGGAGTGAAAATAGTGCACATCATGTGTACACTCTGTGCTTGATGCATGAAGATGGTTCAGCAGCCATGGCACAACGGAATGCCATAGCAATAATGGTTCGAAAAATTTGCCACTTTTCTGTCAATTAAAAAAGTATCCGTTTGGGCGATAGGAAAGTCGTCCAAAACAACTTAAGCCGTTTGTTCAAGTTATTACTACAGATCAATCTACTGGACGGCTTGTGCTTCGAAAGTTGAATCAGTGGTGCTGGTGAATTCATTTCGGCTGAAATTGTCATTCTAAATCAACACATATTATGTTGATCCAGCACTGACGGATCTGATACCGAACAAGGATTCCCATGACTTAGATATGCGTAAGAGTTCCACACGTATCGGTTGCATCTGACAATATTGTTAGTATCCCTTCTGAGCCCACGAATTATTGCGCTAAAAAATCAGCCCACAGAAGGCAGGTATATATCTCGAATTGTTTCCACCAGGTGAAATAGACCACATCAGTTCTTTGTTGTTTGCTCCATCATTTTTTGAAACTGAGTTGAACAAGATTAAGCTAGGTTACAAGAGTAGTTCTTGAAGTACGCAGGAAAATGCAAAAAAAACCGACCTTTCTATCCGCGGTACGTCAGTTGCCACCAAAATAACTTAACTTAGGAAGTGGTTAGCATCAACTGTAAACTTAGAGGTTACGCTCTTTCAAGCGCTGTTTATCACAATACTCAAGCATTCTTGGTTTTGGAAATAATAGGACTGCGAACGGAGTAGTACATTTTCCGGACTTGTAAAACTAAGTACAACTAAGAAGAACATGCGACCAATCTGAATGAAAAATATTCTCATCACAGATGCGCACGGAGGCAACCCAAGAGCTGTTACGAAAAAGGAGCATGTAAAACTGTGAAAGATTAGAAGTTATCACACTCAATTAACGCACCACAGCCTCGAAAGTAGCCTTCACACTAGGAGTATCCTGACAGGGAAACAAGCTTCGAGCGTGGATCGCCTGACATTGACTGAACATAAATGGAAGACGCTTATCTGCGGTCAATTCCGGTTCTAGCCATTGCAAAGCAGTTGACTCTGGCGAAGTTTGATAATGAATTTCAACGTCAAACCTGATTCGAACAACCAAAATTGAATGAATGATAAGCTATAACAGTTTATGGAAGGCATATACAATGTGAAGTGTTTTATTCGTACACCACCGGATAGTTTAATCCAGGAGTGTGTGGTTATGGAATACCAAAATACAGATTTGCTGAAACACTCATTTGCAAATTACATTGGCACTGATCAGATACTCAACTGACGCTCTCATTCATAACATTCTTTAGCTTAATGCACCGCGTACAATTCGGAGGCCTATCGTATGGGTCAGAAAAAGGACGAAGCTGGTAGTGGGCTGTCGAAGAGTTCTCAGAGGACTGACTGACAGAAGGCGAATTGTAACCCCAACGGTATCGATGAAAGGAAGAAAGCAGATGAGAACCAAGAAGCTGCATGTCGTTAGACAGGACTAGTCTTTAAAAACTGGATATTCGCATGTGCTCTCAAACTTCAATGGATATTATTGACTATTACAAAACAGTAAACGAAGGCTGCAAGGCAGTTTCACAATTCCCGTAATAAACTTCACCTTCCATAAGATGCGAGGGTTGAGCTTGGACACCAAACCATAGGCCACTCGTATTTTCGATCAGTAGTATACACCGTTACGTCGGTATTGATAAATAGCGCAGATAGGTGCATACTTCGGTTGATGAAACCCTCCCCATGTCATGGTGATGCATCGGTTTATACCACTCTGTTCTACCTTTCATGGTTCTGTAAGGTCATAGGGATTGGAAGAGGGCAATCAGCTGAGGATGGGTTAAAAATCGCACATTCCGATCGTTTAACAGCTGACCGCTACCACCGGTGCATTGTTCAACACAATGCAGAAGGCTCCGAAAACCAAAAACCCGATGTTATTCAGGAGGGGCCAACTACGCAAAGTGACACTAAGTGTTAGTCTACCGTGGCTTTCCGACGTCGAGACAAGTCAGATGCCTGGGTTACCAACTGCGGGGCGGGTTTAATAAAACATTAATTTCCATTACCTTGTGGGTTGGACTGTTGATTCGATGGCTAGGGACAGCGTTTTGGTTTAAAACCTTTGATATTTCCAACACCTTGAGAACGAGAGGTTTCACATGATTTCTGCCTGGGTAACGGAATGTCCGCGCCTACTCGCGCAGTACGGATTCAACAAGTAATCATTCGCATCGATCATTGCTACTCCTCTTATCACGACGGCCCCCTCTATTTCATACTGTGGTAACCTGGCCTAAAAATTACCAACTAAGTATATGGTTATAAGTTCAAGGAATCTTTTCGATATAGAAACGTCCAACGTCCAAACTATGCGTCAGATAGATCAACGGACATTCGGTATTCACACACATTTCGCTAAACGTCGACTAGTGCTGAATACCTGGAACGCGCACAGAAGACTGCATGTCGTAAGGCATCCTAATACAACCTGAACCAATTCTTTCTTGTGCGTTGATCTCCGGGGTTCTGGTGATGCAACAGTAGCGCAGCATCGTCCAAATGGTGTAAGAAGTGAGGGCCAAAAACGCCATGCCCTACCGGTCCCGTTGAACGACCGCCAGACTAACAAGAGGAGTTTATGAGAATCGACATCCAGTGACCGCGGACCTATGAATTATTCGCTATATCTGCACCTGTCCCAACCGACTACAACAGCGATACGGCCAATATTTTTTCTACATTCCCCGGGATGGCGAGGTATGCGGATATCATTTAAGGGTTGGTTATGTGAACACCAAGGTTCAACTTGTAACGCCCTTCGGTGTCTAACTACCATCCCACCAGAAGGAAGCATCAAGGCCGGGATACTGCCGAGTTGCCTAAGCTTAGACAAGGAAGTTGAGTCAGAGGTTAGGTTCGAAGCACGGAATATTCGAACAGTACATTCGCGCTCCAACCACTGAGCCATTCGCCTCGCGGTTGAGTCAGAGGTTAGGTTCGAAGCACGGAATATTCGAACAGTACATTCGCGCTCCAACCACTGAGCCATCTCGCCTCGAGGTTGAAAGAATTAATGAACGTGAATACCGAGTTGATGACAGAATAGGTGTAGATGTTATCAACAACGATGACGACCACTGTCCCATACAACTATCTGCCGTTCATTATCTGTCTGCCATAGTCAGTTGACGTCCTCTACACCGCAACCAATCGAGCGCTCAGATTAAGTATGTAAAGATCAGCTATCGTTGATAGTCGTGTGTTCAACGCTGTCGCCAAATGTGAAATAAATGAACAGACTCCATACCAGTGCTCACTTCGTGGTGCGTTTCCCAGCGTATGCCGCGCATTATACCCATCGACTCAAATTTGAATGCTTAAAAGACACATGAATTGGATCGGATTGCCAAACAGAAAACGGTCAGGAATAACGACCGCAACGGAGCCAGCATTCGAAAGGGTGCATCCGAAAGCAAAATAGGGAACCAACTTAGGTTGGCCACAGTAGGTCGAAGAGAATACGTTGGCGAAATGGTAGCAGAAAAAGACGGATCCAAAGTTCGTATGATATCTGATCGTTTAATTCGATCGACAGAACGTTCTGAAGAACAATGCGGCCGATCTGATGATAAACGCCACAAGTAATTGACAACTGCCAAGCCCCAACGGAAGACGAAGCTGGCAACCAAAGTTTGTGTCCCAGAAGAAAACATTGGGTACTGATTGGCCTTCTGCCCTGTTCAGGGCACAAGAGAAACCAATGATCGCCTGCTTACATCTTAAGACAGCATTCGATACAATCGTGCTATTTTTTGGTGATATATTTGTTGTAAGTGTACTTTGCAAGCCCCATAGGTCGGCACTCGTGCTGATCTACGGTTAATATTCTTGTGGATTCATACTCAACAGTCGTCATTGTGCAAATTCGTGATCGAAACTGTTATCTACCAAACCTTTGCGACGTCCACTTCTTCTGACACGGAACCTTGTCTAGAGAAAGACTAGGTACCTAAAGTATGTAGGCGATATCGTGCTACTTGGATCATATTCCGCTGGGATATAAAATACACAAAATGTAACGATTAATCCAGCTAATTTCGTTACAGGTTTCAGAAGGCATTTAACATGTTCAAAGTGCCTTGTGCTACTCTAGGGCTGGAGGGATACAACAGTCTACCTGAACATGGCGCCAGATGTTTCTGATAATCTCACGTATCTTTGAATGGCAGTATCACTGACGAAATGGATGATGAGATATGTCCAGGGGATACGGAGTGCGTAGTGCTGAAGAGCACAAGTGGTTTTCGACAACAAACAGGAAGTTCACTGGTCATACTTGATTGTCCGTATGTGCTACGTTCGCTGAAAACTACGATGACTGGGAGACACGGGGTGGATGAGTGACGTCCTGAGGACAAGGCATGAAAAGCTCAACAGCGAGTATTAGTCATTTTGGCCTAAGCCATGTACGAAGTTGGAGTGTCATCATCTGCTAACCGCTCTGACCGAAACGTAGAAGCCCAATAATCAATAACGCTTCTGCATCCACTCGCTAATCATCACTACCTGTTAGCTGCCCCATATTTTTCATAGCAGCTTGCAAATCCCAGTCTCCTTCCTCAGCTTTCACTATTAGCGTCAGAGTTTTGTGATGGAAAGACCCAAGGTAAAATTCCAAGTGATTCATGGCATAAAAACTGAGTTGAACTATAAGTAACAAGGATGACTACGCAGTGCACAGGGAGATGTAATTAAGGAAAAATCATACCAAATACATCAATATTGATAAGTAAAGTGGCTATTGTTTTAAGTGAGTTCAACCCCACAAGAAGCTGGTTAAGTAAACGCGTACATCGGCAGACAATTTGAGTTAGTTAGTTAATTATAAGCAAGTATAGCAGGGGTGGAAAAACAGGACGACCCCTAATAAATCACCTACTCGTTGTCTTTAGTGGGGACTTCAATTTCAAGTTGTGAGCCAAGTTCCTTAGTAGAATGAGGTAGTATTTTCCATTCGGTCGCTTGGCCGGATATTTTGACCGCTTCGATCTGCAAATCATTGGCATCCAAGATCTACAACACACGAAGTAGGTGATTCAACCAATGAAGTGTAGCAAACACTGACAATTTAAGGACGACTGACCAGTCGAAATGAAACAAGAATCAAGAAAGCTTACAAAAAAGCGGAAAAGCTTCGTAACTGATCACTTAGCTAGAGCCTTAAAAGCCGATTTCCGACCGGACGCACGTATTGGATATTGTCTGTGTTCACTTTCGTTACGTATCAGTAATCGGAATATTGTTAGGACCATATAAGTTCGAGGTCATGACTATGAGTGTGAGGCCATATCCGTGACGTTTATTCCAGTTAATTTTCTTCAACCTCAGTAAGAAATGATAATTCAAGAAAACTAGGGGCAGCACACGAAAAAGGAAACATCTAAAGAGTGTATTTATATTGCAGGAGTGAGGACTCCGGCATCAGATGAAATATCACAACCAGTATGACATTTACCAGTAGTGGATTTTCGTCTGCACATATCTTTTTAATACGCAAGTTGGCAAGTCCAGAAATAACAGACTCAGTGAAGTGCACGGTCCAGTTAAACTTCCAGTGCCGAGTCTGATAATGTGATGTGTTCGCCGAGGACGAGGGATCGCGAACATGTACCATCGGGGGAAGAGTTCTGGTCGAATGATAAAACCGGCAGATCCGATGAAGAGCGATAAAACGCTACAAAAATAATCGGCAGTGTTATTGGTGCAAAATACTCAGGTATTACATTAGAAAACAGTGAGTTGCAGTGGCTTTCGGGTCAATACATACGCATACATATGAACGACCTGAACCCGGTGTAAACCCGAGTGAATGAGATCAGAGGAGACGGTAGCTCTAGAGCCACCAGTACGCCCAAATGTGGTCCGTAAGTGACAATTCATACGGGAATAACTTAGAAGTTGTGTTTCACAGTGCGTGTAAAGGATCACCTTGTGGTTTGCACCGGGAGATCCATCCTAGGCACACCCAAGGCTAATCAGTGGTGGCCATTTTCAGCCAGATCTATAAAAAATGTTCACAGAAAGTCATCTCCATCATCGCTGTACGCTTCGGAATGTCCCAGGCGTTATTGTGGGTATTTTGCAGATGGGCATACGAAATACACGTAAACAGAATGCAATGGGATACATTGAACTATAAATCAAAATAGTAAAACACAATACGTTGTAGGCTTGAGACAGCAGCGAATAACAGCGTTAAGCCGCGATCAAACCAGAGCTACTCTGTGGGGAATCACTTACCACTCCCTAAGATTAAGCCGGTTTTACATGATTAATCAGGTGATATCTATATGATATCTATACGAAGGATTGTCTGGCGCCCCCACCACACAAGACACCATAGGTACACCAAAATGACTAGCTAGTGCTACTCACTATCTAACTTGGTCTATACAACGATGGTAAAAGTCACTCCTGGCGCCGTTGTAGGCTTACCGCTTTACACTATTTAGAGTAGGGCTTTCGCCCATACAGATAGAAACACACTAACAGTTGAACATAAGAGTGTCCGCTATGGAGAGATGGGAAGCTGCACTACTAAGCAGAATCTATAATGCATCGATTGGCTTTGTGAGTAGCCATGATTTTACTTGATTCCATTCACGTTGTGGTGATCATTGTGAGTCATCCTTAGCACCATCGTGGGCTCGCCGCTCCGGGTTCTCTTGTGACGAGGCGTTTTAATAGGTTTCGGTCTGCATGGCGAAAGTGATGGAAGCTCACTCCCTTCACTGTCATAGGTCTGACTCCCTGGCAATCTCAATCCTCATTCTTCCTTCCGGTAGCGCAGAAGCTAGGCCACGAAACGATGTTTTTTTCCGAATCTCAGGAAGCTACGGTAGATCCGACGAACTCGTTTCATCCGCCGAGGTTTCGCCGGTGTCCGCTGGTGGCTGATTTATGCTGGCAACACAAACACAGCAGATCCTACTCGGTTTCCAGGCCCAACAACTCCGATGAAACCCCTGCGTCTTTCGGGTCTCAGTTCTCCGGCATGAAGTGAACGGTCGCCGAATTAACAAATTCCATTTCTTTTTTCCTCCATTCAGTCCGTTTCGCGCTTCAGCTTCCCACTTCAAAAAATCATGTTACCAGCAAATTCGAGCTGCAAGGGAACAGTCTGTGATCGGCACACATCTGAAGTAACCGGTCTCCGTTGTCCGTGCGTCTCATGTCCAAACCAAGACGACCACCCAATCGGACTTCAGCAGCGCTTAGTCTACCTACCTTGGCGTTCATATCACCAGCAACCATAACGATATCTGAGCCTTTAGCCTGCTGTAGAAGAGCACCTAGAGCGTCATAGAAACTGTTATTGGCAGATTCAGAGCTACAATCAGTTGGAGCGTATGCAGACACAATAAACAGGGTGTGGTGAACCTTACTTTCTCTGGATTCTCTCACAGATGTTGCCAAACGAACCGCACGGAGGTATCCAATCAAGCAGAGACGCTTCCGCTCGTTCACTCAGTACAATACCCACCCCAGCATATCCAGCTGCAGCCGCCTGTGCAGCATCACAGGTGCGCAGCCGTAACCTGGAAGAAAGCATTGGGGCAGTCAGTTCGATCACAGTACTTGCGTCCTGCGTCCTTGTTTCTGACAGATAACATACATCAATGTAGAAGGGATCCAGCATATGTGCAAGAGCCACCCGTTGACCTGCTTGCTCCAGTGTGCGAACGTTGAAGGTGGCTAGGTAGACAGGCTTTCGGGGTTTGAAAACAGACTTAGAAATGTTTAAGGTTGTGACTGAACGCGGACGTACAGAAGGGGTGTTATGGAGGGCGAGCAAAACGGTTAGTCCTAGAGCTGGGAACTGCGGAGGAAGTATTCAAATATGGAAGGGGAGGGTGGAAGACGGAGAACGTGAAAGTGTAAGAAGGGAGGCGTCAGAAGTAGCAAGTTTTACTTACTCACCCTGCTGTATGCAGCAAGTAAGGCGACCCGGCTGATGGCACCACGCGACGGCCGATGCGGCATGAGAGTATTGTTATCTGTAAATGTCATGGTTGTACGAGAGCTGGGATACTGTCAGGGCACCACACCTAGACAGGAGGACGATTAGGGTCCTCAACCAAAGCCTTTGGCTCAGAAGTTCAACCGCAAGGCAGCGGTTTTGGGCTGGAAATGCAAGTACACAACCATTTTTGCGGAACACGTCACCACACATGACCCAACCGCCAGGAGACTGTGTTCATCAGACTTCTACCCATGGACCAACCTGGTATGAGACTGTGAGTGTCGCGCGGACTTCCCCAGTGTAGTTCAATGGATCGCCTAGGTACACAAACCGCCACACCACGGCAAGGTCTAGTCTTCTGGTCACCTAGTGTCCATGGACAGCGTGTCAGCATTGAACCCAAATCGATCATATTGCTGTCGGTTACTGACGGTGACAAAATGACTGCCAGTCGTTTGGGAACATTTGTATAAATTTTCAATAAAGATTCGTCCGGATTAGATTTCCTTCGCCCTTCAGAGCCGCGTAAATGGTGGACAGCTCGGCTGGTAACTGACGGGTTAGATGTTCCCAAAGCTAAACCATTCTCTTCCAACTGCTTCAGTGGTGAATATAAATTCCTACTGGAATGAGATCGCCATTTTTTCACGAGGCCAGCAGTTTTGTCTGTGATATGGTGCTATCAGATCTCCGGAAAACTTGGATATCAGACAGAACAGTGGGACTGCTACAATCTCGGAGAAATGCTCACACCGGTCCCGATCATAATTTAGCCCGACTCACCGGACTTGAAGTGAAACTAAGCATCAACTGTGAAGGCTAAGGATATGCAAGAGACCCAAAAAGACTAGAATGTCCTGATAATATTTCAGTTGATCCGTACGATCAGTTTCAGGAAACGACCTGTGAGCGAAATCGTCAAAGGGCAAATTGGTGCAACCACTTTGAGTAAAGAGGGACACCTCATTCAGTTTGAACAAAAATATCCGTAGCCATTCATTTAGATCTTAAAATTAAAGTATACCTCTCGACAGCGAACCTGCAAGCTCGGAGGTTTCTGCATGCGCATTTTCCGTTAAGCAACACTAAGCACCTTGTCTGGATGACCACCTCGTGCATTGTTCAAAGGTAAGAATGAAACCCTCAGTCACCGGGTGCGTGATCCTTTTGCCGACATCTAGGAGAAGGATATCGTTTCAGACGACTAGTGAGACTCGGTTATTTTGCCCATTTCCAAAACCTGGACCCTGGTGAGTATGGTAACTGCAGGAGAATTAGCTTGTCCCGTCTTAATGATGCCTTTGGTGTCAGTTGTCCTTCGTCGCCTCATGAAACACTGGCTGATGAGGAGCAAGCGGGATTCCACAATATGAGTATACCTAAATTTGACTCACCCGACCGGTTAGTTATGCTTGCATTGCTTGCTCAGCAAAAATGCGCAATGGAGTATATGACTATACCTTCTTCGTAGTCTCAGACTTGCGGGCGCATAAGAGTAGAAGAAGAGCCCACAGAAGCTACTGTACACGAAGTAACTTCCAACAAGGATGCTCAGTATTTCCATTCCTATTCAGTTTCGCAATTGACGAGATGGTGAGAACGCTAGGAGATCATCGAAGTCCTGGTGTTCAAATAGCTGCTGAGAAAAACATGGAGTGTGCATGTTGTTTATGCAATAACACCTAGGACACATAGCTATTATGCTACTGGAAAGAAGCACGAGAGCCGAGATACCGTCTAGTTACCCAAGCCTAGATAGAAGCCGAGATACCGAGGTTGTGTTTCAACCACGAACTTTCGTCACTAAAATCACACCATAACCACTGAGATATCGCCACCTACTGTGGTTCAAAATTAACACCGGTATCTTCAATGATGCTATCAGGGCTTGAGCAATCTGCTATTATCTCAGGCCCTGTGCTTATTTCGGGTGGCATGGTAATCACGCATCGAAAGGGTGTAACAGGCAAACGACTATTATCATTATGGAGAAGTCGGGGACAAGGACGCTAGTTGGTATTGCGAATTTTTGTGCACAAACTCGGTCTCATTGCGAGGTAGGCATTGGATGAGGTGGAGTTTCGGAAAGAAACGTCCACAATGCTTCTCGGTTGTTGAAGTCAAAGTCTTTCGTGAAGTCTACGAGGACGGCATTTGGGCTTCCTTGCTGTCAAGCAGCAAATATCGATCAGCACGGAATTCACATTGCTCATCAGAGATGTGGTTCGATCACATTAGCTATTACTTGGTTGAGTAATACTCGTGCTAGGAGCTTGCTCACGCAGACGTGCAGGCAGATAGATCTGCGGTTGCCAGGTTTCCTTTTCCTTAGTGAAATGGCGTGATAAATGCATTCTTGAATTCTGATTGAACTCTCTGTCCTAGCCAGATTGTTATAGTTGGGGTTGAAGTGCATTCTCCAGCGTCGTACAAGTTCTACCGCGAGTATATTTTCTCTAGCTATTCCATCATCGCGTGTGAGCCTGGTGTTAACCTCTCGAGGTTGAAGGAAAGTCCATGGACAGTATTGCTTCTTTGAAGAAGTCTATCCAATGTAGTCCAGCCGACACATGTCGGTTGGTTCAGCAGTTTGCTGAAGTGCTTACGTTATATAAGTAAATTTCCATGACCTCGGACTGGGAACTGCTGCAGTTCGAAAATTATGGAATTGGTATCGAGGTATTGTGGTGGTAACTCAAGAATATGGCGTCGGT